AAACCTACCCAAGATGAGCCCAAATGATGGTGCTAGGGTTTTGTTGTAAAACCCCCAATTTCCAATGCCAAACTTCTCTCTTTACAAGCTTCCTCACTCACCCACATTTTTCTCATTAATAAAAACCCCTTCTATGGGCCTCCACTAAAAAGCTTATTTTAGTGACAAAAATACACATTAACAAGAAGGAGAATAACATAGGGTGTGATTTTTGCATCACATCCCAACGTTGTCGATTCTAAAATTTTATTTTACAGTGTTCTATTTCATGGAGGGACAAAATGGTCACACCACCTCAACGAATCATAAGGTAGCCTCGTTTTTACAGTGAAAGTGAATCATTAACATGGTGGACAAACTGTTGGAGGAATTCGTTTCACTTTGAGTATGTCTTCAAGTAATCTTTTAGGGATATTCAAAATGCACCTCTTTGGCATTTGTCCGATTCAAATGGACGACTACAGTAGCTTCGAACGTAATGTCATATGTAACTTTTAGAATCAGGATATAATACAGTAAATTAAGACAACTACAGGAGCTTCGAACGTTTAATGTCATATGTAACTATTTGAATTGGGATATAATATAGTAAATTAAGAGCATGCGTTCTAAATTCTCTCATATGAGCACTCTAGAGTCAATCTTCAAGGATTTTGTTTAAAGCATTTTCCGAGCTCAATTATTTCCGATTTACAACTGATTTATTTATGAGTGAGCACAACAAGAAAATCATCAGACAAAGAGCTGCCCATGTTTTGTGTGAGAGACCACGTTTTGATGTATTCTCATTGACAAACTTCACCTGATGAAAGGCACTTCTGCGACATCCAACACTAAGTAGTGATGGAGGAGATTATATTTGACATACTGTTAGCATGACTATCTAATACATAGAAAACTAGGATAGCCATCCATCATCCATAATAAGGAAAATAAATGGGAAAAAAAAAAAGCATTTGACAAAACTTAGAGATTTATAATCATAACACAATAAGATTTAGGAAACACAATGTCAAACTCTTAAAATCACATCTAAAAAACCATATTTTGTTAAAAACCTTGGTGTATTGGGTTCATGGCATAAGTGTTGGCAATTCGGGATAACCCAAGTCCCTACTTGAAATAAAAACTATTTTTTGTATTGTATAATATATATTTTAATATTGGATCGGATTGACTTCAATCTGAACCAAACCTAACCCTATAGCTGTCCAAGCCAGACCTGGATGCGGACCCGACCTAGGTCAAGTCCATGTGAGTTGGATGTTGACCAGACCCGCTTGGTCCAAAACTCGGACCCAGACCTAGACCCAGACCTAGACCCGATTTGGGTCGACCTGCCTGATTGTCACTCCTATACCAAGCCCCTCAAATATCATACCAAAATTAGGAACCCCAAACCGGGTTATACCAGGACTAAAAGACTAATTTGGGTTGGTTTGCTCCATCCACCCCTGATTCCACACTCAACAAGGATTTGAATCCCTCTCTTTCAACCCACGATTGGAATGACTTTCTCTCTCACATACACCCAAAGCCCACGATTTAAATAGAGCTTTCTCTCTCACACACATACAACCACGATTTAAATGTCTCTTTCGAACCCTTGATAGCTTTGAATATGAGACATCCCTCTCTCAATGCAAAAAGTTGTGAACTAAATTTTTATTAACATATGTTTTTTAATTCAGTGTTTTTCAACTTTGAATTGAATATTTATTAATTGAATTCAATTATGCCCCAGCATTAGGGGCAGTACCCAAGCTTTAGGGGCAGTGCCCAGGTTTTCTAAGATTAGAATCATTAGACTGCCCTGCGAACACAGCAAACTTCCAGTAAAACGGTGTAAGGTCCCCAACCTCATATCGTTGTTTGTCTCAAATAAATAAGAAATAAAGTGCGGTCTGAGGATGGGGACCTTAAACCGCCTTGAAATTCAGTTCTGCTAAGTCTAAAGAGCGGTTCGAGGTCCCCATCCTCGAACCATTGCTTTTCAAAAAAACAGGAGATAAAGAGTGGTCTAAGGATGGGGACCTCGGACCGTTGTTTTTCTCAAAAAATAAGAATAAAAAAGCGGTCTGAGGATGGGAACCTCGGGCCACTTGAGAACTGAGGCATGCTCAATCGAGAGGGCGATCCGCTCCTTGGATCTCCTGGGCACTGCCCCTAAAGCTTGGGACGCTGCCCTACTAACAACAAAATAATTTTTTAAAAAAATTAAATGCAATTCGAGGATTGCGTCACCGTGGGATAATTTTGAAAAAAATAAAAAAATACGGGTTGGCCGACATTCCTTGCAATCAGATCATTTCATATTTTAGGTGAAGCTTTTGGGTCTGTACATAAATCACTCTAGATAATAAACAATCTCATGCACAATTCCACGTAGATAATGAACTGTTAGAGATCACAAATGATGTACAACAAACTTAGAAACCCCAACCCAGGTTATACAAGGCCTGGCGGACCAAGCCGAGTTGGTCCATCCAACCTTACTCAGGTACATAACTGACGAATTAAATTACTATTTCTCTCTCACAAAACCAACGACTAACTAATTCTTTCTCACAAAACCCACGACTAACTAATTCTCTCTAATACCACAGAAGTCCCTTTTGTCCAAAAAAAAAAAAAGTCCTCTCTCTCTCCTCTCTGTCTCTCTCACACACACGCACTCTCTCTCTCTTTATTTTTTGATATTGAATTGAATTTTCACAACATTAAGGCACAACAACATATGCCGTTCAAAAAGAAATAAAAGAAAAAGCAAAAACACAATAAAAGACACCATACAAGCTTAGGAGACATTAAATACTACTGTTTTTCCTTAGTGCATGCACCTCATTTGACATCTTCACACACCAAATCCTCTTCTGAGACATTTCAAGCCCATCAAAGTTTGTAATCGCGTAATCAAAATGCTGTGAAGCAATCCATCCACTCAAGAACGGAATGGGACCATTTCTTTAAAACAAATATCACTGAGAAAAACCCACCGAATCCAAACCCAAATCCAAAACAGATGCTCATCCATGGAATCTCTGATGACCCATTTCTCATATCCCTGCTATTGCTTGAATTTGAGATTGACTCGTCACGAGTGCACTTCTTCTCAGGAAGAGGAAGAGGAGGACCACAAACTTGTGGGTTCCCATAGTACGACGAAGCATCGAATGTAGTCATCTGACCGCTGTAGGGATTGGGTCCTGATAAATTATTGAAGGACAGGTTCAAAGTTCCCAAGAATATTAGAGATGGCATGTTTAAAGGTATTTCACCAGAAAACAGATTGTTTGATAAATCGAGCTCTTCCAAACCCCGCATTTTATGAATCTTGTCTGGAATCTTTCCACTGAGATGGTTGTGAGACAAGTTCAACATAAGCAAGCTACTCAATCTTGTCAATTCATCTGGGATTCTTTCTGATAAATTATTGCTTGAAAAGTCGATAGTTGTCACAGGAGAAGAGGACCGGTTGTATTCCTGCATGTTCCCATTTACAAATATATTGACATCTCCAAAAAAAGTTAGTTCAATCCTTCCCAAATATGTATATATTTCCACCATGTAATACTCTGGAGTGGTGGACATGATCATTGGTGTTAAGTTGTTGAAAATGGCGGGGATTACACCTGATAGATTATTGAGTGCTAGATCTAGCACTTGAAGAGAACATAGATGTGATATCCCTCGAGGAATCGTCCCATTGAACATATTAGATCTTAGGCAAAGGACATAAAAGGACTTGATGCTTTTGCCTATCCAAGTTGGGATGTTCCCGGATAATTGATTCTCACCGAGATCAAGAGACTTTAATTTGGAACAATATCTCAATGATGCTGGAATTTTACCTAATAACGTATTGTTACTCAGGTTCAAATACTTGAGATCAATTAGGTTTCCCAAGGTAGTCCGAAGAGGTCCTATCAATTTATTCCCAGCAAGATCAAACACGGTCAAATTCACCATGTCTCCTATGGAGGTGGGGATGGATCCTGTAATACCATTATTAGAAACATTCAACCATCGTAGATTAGGCATGACGTGCCTATTTTAATGTGGAATAGAACTTGAAAATTGATTTACTTGATTCGAAAATTTGAGACAACTGATGTTCATGCACTGTTCTGACTTATTGCACATCTGATTTTGAAAAACAATTGAGGAGTTGACATTTGGAACTTTATTATTTTGGCTCAAAGCAATTGGGATATTTCCGGAAATGTTGTTGCTTGCGTAGAGAAATTTTTGGTCATGTGGGTGACATACAGTGAATAATGGGCCTTGAAAATTGTTGACCTTCCATCTCAGTATTCAATGGCTTCAAGGTTGCACAGTTCTGGAGGAAGGGAACCTGTGAGATGGTTTCCATATAGGTTCAAGTAAACAAGCTTGGAAAGATTTCTAATGGAGGAAGGGAGTGTACCATTGAGCTCATTACTTGCAAATTCCAAGAACTCAAGATTTGTTAGATTCCATATTTCCATGGGGATATGTCTTGAAAACTTATTGAAAGAAATTAATAGCCAGCGAAGGTTCTTGAGAAGTCCAATTTCTCTGGGGATCGGTCCGATGAATGAGTTACGTGCGAGAGCCAAATTTCTTAGATTAGTCCAATTGGTGAAAATGCACCCAGGGATGGCATCAGTAATACTATTACTAGAAATGAAAAAGTCAGAAATTCTACTCAATGCAGCAAGAGATGGTGGTAAAGAACCTGCTAAATTATTTAAAGACAAATATAAGTATTTTAGGTTTGCGAAAAGCCCAAGCTGAGATGGGCTGCTAGAATTCAACCCACATGACATAAGGTATAGATGCTCAAGAGCCCGAAGTTGTCCGAGAGATGCTGGGATATGTCCACCTAAAATATCATTTCCCGCCAGGTCAAGTGTTTTGAGCCCTGAGATTAAGCCAATATCATGGGGAATTGAACCTGTGAATTTGTTTTTACTTAGTATAAGTTCCTGCAATTTTGTTAGTTTCTTGAGCTCAATTGGAATAGGACCAGTTATTGAATTATAAGACAAATCCAAGTGTACCAACTTCTTGCATCCAAAAATGAAGCTCGCGAACTCCGTTAAGGAATTATCATATAAAAAGAGGTCAGTAAGAGACTCCATGTTCAGAAATCTTGTCGTGTTGGGAGAAATCAGGTGGTTATCTCCAAAGTCCAGGAAGCTTGCCTGTTTTAGTTTACCAAGCCGATAAGGGATCCGGCCGAAGAGGTTATTCCTTTCCAGAGAAATGTTGCGAAGCTACGTGAGATTGCCAATCTCTACTGGCACTGAACCCGTAAGTATGTTACCCAAATCCAATACATTGAGCTTCACAAGGGTGCCAATGGACCTAGGGATTTTACCTTCAAGCTTGTTCAAACTAAGATCGAGGTGGGTTAAACAGGATAATGACAAGAAGCTTAATTTATCCAGAGTACTGTTCAAACTGAAATTTGAAAGGTTTATCTCAATTACACTTCCATCATTATCGCATCGAACACCTGCCCACCCACAATGGATGGTCTCATTGTCGGTGTCGAGAAACCATGAATCCAAATTGGAAGCTTTCATACTAGTTTTCCAATAAAATAGTACTTATGCTTCAAGTTCAGCGAATGATAAACCAGTGGATGTAACTAAAAGACCGAAAACAGTAGGAAAGAGCAAGATAGAGATTGGAAACCTCACCATTTCCGTTGCATGCGAAATGCTATTGAGTAAATTTGCTTATGTTGGGTATATCCAAATTTATAGAACATTGTAAAGCAAAAAGTAACGAAAATTCATGGGTTGGAATCTGGTATCAACTTTCTTTATTTTTTCCTTTTCTGCCACTCGCCTTCTTTCAGTTCAGAGCGCTACCGTACTTTGAGAAATGTGTTTTCTGATGACTTGTGATTTTTCTCTCTCTCTCTCAATACTGAGAAACGTGTTACGTGATGAGCAATGTCCAGTCTTTTTTGTTACATCTTATGCTTTTGTTTGGTTGCGTGGAATTTCCCAAATGTCTTGCCATTAATATGACCCATTGTAGGCCACAATGTTCAATGGAAATTTAACCCCAATAATTCAATACACTTTTTGACTATGACTTGAAGAATTACTCGGTTTTTTTGTATGCAATCTCTCTCTCTTAAATTTCATTTCTTTAGTATTGCAACGAAAATAACATTTTCTCTCCATAGGCAATCAACCTTTTGAGGGTCTACGAATTCCTATTTCTATCAAAATCATCCATTATTTACCTTCTCGTTTTAGTACCAAAATTCTTCGGATACTAAAGGATTGAAGTGCGAAATTGATCAATTGTTGTAAGTTTCTATGCGGCCAGCCCACATACTGTAGAAATACGGGCTTGGCAATAAATATATTTTTTGAATATAATGTGATCTTAATTTTTAGAAAATATATAATATTTAATACCAAGATCATGAATATGATTTTTATTTTTTGAAAACTAAAAATAATAATTATATAAAGAAAACATTTGCACCGTTAGGTACACTTGTTTTTAAAAGAACCGCCTATTTACATCCATCTTTAAGATGGATGCTTTATAGCTCTGAATTGCATATTGTAGAAATGCGATCGCCCACATGAAACGATTTTCCTTTATAAATTAACTCATCCACAATACTTCTCAAAAAAAAACGTCTAGCTATGTGTGACCACAGGCTGTGGATCGTTTCGGAGGGGTTGGGCATGTGTGTTCATTCAGCTTTTCCACCCTCTTCTTTGGGTTAGTCTGCCAGAACTTTGAAAGTTTTGGAAAGACTTAGCTGTTCTTGTGGGAGCCACACTATCGATTTGCTCCCTCGAGTAAAATTCCATATACAAGTATTTTGGGACCCTAAATTTTAAAGATGTAACCTATTGAACACACTGATCAACATCAGAAAAAGACAAAAAAAGCAAATAGCAGAAAAAGACAAAAAAAGCAAATAGCAGAAAATTAAAAAAGAGGGAAAATTCATCACCTTTTTCCATAGTCTATATTCTATAAATTTGGAAAGCAAGGTCGTGGACTCAGCACAACCAAATTCAATAGCATTTTGTTTGTAATAGGGTTTTTAATAATAGTAATAAGAAATTTGTTTGTAAAAAAGCAATAATAAGAAATTTAACGTTTTCAATTATTTTAAAAAGGTTTGGGAAGTATTTTGGCTACAATTATTTATTTTTATATTCTCATTTTTTTGGTACGTCTGGACACAAATTAATTTTTCAAAATCTATTTTTTTAGTACTATTTAAATCGCTTTTAAATGTAATTTGTTTCGTTATATTTTAAATATACTGTTTATATTTTTTGAATACTTTAAAGATTTAATTTTTTTTTTTAAACCTTTTTGGCCTGGTGTCCGATTAGGGCAAGTTACCCGGAGCAATTTTGGGCTACTCGAACCCGGTTCATCGCCAGGTTTTAAGGCCGGATGGCGCAGTCGAAAATCGCGTGGGCCCAAGTACAAGAACACTTTTTCTTTAATAAAACTCAGTCTCTATGGGCTAATTAATACGCTCTCTCTTCCCCTTTCTAGAACTCTTATTTTCATTTAAAACTACCCACTTTATTGAACTGCAGTGGCCTTGGCCCTCTATTTTCTTTCACTAAACCTCACCCACCCCTTTTCTATCTCTCTAAACTAGTGTTGGAAACCATGACTCGGGACGGAACTACCCTATGGGTTGAGCCCGAGTAGCCAAGTAACTCGGACCAAGTTCTGAGTTGCTCAGCATGAATCGAGCAGGTCTGGCAAGGTTAAAAAGTATTAAAAACAAAAACTATAAAAAAAATCCCAAAAGTATTCTTAAAATAACACTAGACAAAACACATCTAAATGAAATTATGTACTAACAAAAATAAATTTTGAAAAAATCAACTTTGGATTAGCGATATTTGTAAAATCATCAATATAAAAATAAGCATTTATATCCAAAACACATTCCAATATTTTACCAACATTATAGAAAACACAAAGAGATATATTACAAATAAATTTTATATTTATAAAAATTTAATTTTTTAATATCCCCAAACTTGACCACCAAATCGAGGATACTCGAGCTTGCCAGGTGCAGAGCCCAAGTCACATAGACAAGTTTGGGTTCGGTAGCCCAAGTAGTCGAACAGTCTAAACGACTCCTCGTAAACCGCTACTCCTAAGGGTAGCAACAGACCTGAATCCAACCCGGGCCTTGCCGGGTGTACCCGAGGGCATTTGGACCCGACCGTTCGGATCTGTGTCTAAAACTTGGACCCGAACACTATATGGGTCCGGGTTCGGGTTCGGGTTCGGGTCCGGGTCCGAGTCCAACTAGACCCGATCCGCACCCGTAAACTGTTAGAGATAAAATACTTGCCCTAATTCCTTGGCTGAGCCGAGCCCGGCCCAGCCCTGCCAACGTACTATAGAGTAGAACACTCAAGTGCCGAGCAAATGGAGTAAGGGGTGGGGAATTGAGGTTCTTGCCAACCGGCACCTGAAACATGCAATCAAAATGTGTTTATGAATTCGAAGGGGGCCGGATATTGCATGATGCATGTATCATGCCATCTACACCATCCATTCTCATAATAGATGCTGGAGATTCCATTTGAGTGGACAACTGTATCCTTGAGTCAAAGAGCAGCTCATCTACACCGTCAGTAGTGAGTATGGATGGTGGGGATGACGTGTATCATGTTTTCGCATATTAAACACTCATAAGGCACTTTCCTTTAAAAAGAAAAATAAAAAGAAGAAGAAAAACGTGTTTATTTACTAATCTAAACTTAGTGATCACGTTTAGACCGCTACGATTTGATATCCAAACTGCATCAATCTTACAAACTACACCAAACCATGGTGGACCCATGTCCCAATCTGCCTAGTCATGACGACTACCGTTGTTGAGAACATTGAAGTCAACTTTATTTTTTATTTTTTATTTTTTTTTAACGCTAAGAAAGGAGGGCGGGAGGTTATGTGAAATCGATTTTTTTTTTCTAGCAGTTTTAATCGAAAAGGAAGTTTCTAGGAACAGATAGTGAGATGACAGACTTAGGGATTCATGCACATAAAAAGTACCGACCATTATACTCCCCTAACATGCCCAAACTTTTATATTGCTCAGAAGGGCACAACCAATATAATAGGAGCGTTGCATAGCGTACTCTCGAGGGAGCGTACTATATGATTACTCTCTCTCGTGTATAGGACTTGTTGGGGGAGGATTTATTAGATATAAAATTTAGGGATCCACTTTATAATCAGCTAATTAGTATTTTCTAATTAAAAAAATCGATTTTGAGCTACTAAACACTTAGATCTGACCATCCAACAATTAAATGGCCTTAGTTTAATCCTAGGACAAGTTTTTCATGCACTAAAAAAGTGCAGTTAAATTTTTTATTTTTTTTTAATCTCAGACCATTTACTTTTAGTACGACGTGGTCACATTAATCTTGATTATTGGTTGTGAAATTGGGTGATTGTCATTATTCCATTGATCAAGCTTAAACTTCAAAAGAAATTTTTTAGACTTTGGTGACACAT